GGATCTGGAGTACCTGCTGCTCAGTTGTGGCCACTGCTCCAGTTTTAGTGTTGTCTGTGAATTTGATCAGCAGACTGTTCACCCCTTCTTCCATGTCGTTAATGACAACATTAAACAGAATCGGCCCCAGGACAGAGCCCTGGGGGATCCTGCTTGTCACTGGCCTCCATCCCGATGATTCCCCAATAATGGTTACCTTCTGCTTTCGGTCAGTCAATCATGCCCTAATCCACCAGACAGTACTTTAGTGTATCCCAAAACTCCTCAGTTTCTCCACCAGGATATCATGTGGCACTTTGTCAAAGGCCTTGCTGAAATCCAGGTATACCACATCCACTGCATCCCCTCCATCTAGCCGTCTCGAAACGTTGTCATAGAATTCCACAAGGTTTGTCCGGCAGGATCTGTTTTTGCGGAAGCCGTGTTGTGTGACTGTCAGCCTCCCTTCCCTATCTAGCATCACTAGATCTCGCTCTGTTATGAGCCTTTCCATTGTTTTTCCTATAATGGACATAAGGCTAACCAGTCTATAATTCCCCATGTCCCTTCTACTACCCTTTTTGAAAATTGGGACCACTGATGCCACCCTCCAGTCCTCTGGAACTTCATCCGTTCTCCACGAGTCCTCAAAAATGGAGGCCAGTGGGCGTGAGAGAACCCCTGCCAACTCTCTAAGCACTGTCGGGTGTAACCCGTCAGGGCCTGGCGCCTTTGTAATGTCCAATGCCCCGAGGAGCCCCTCGACTTCAAGGGGGGGTGACTCTAATCTGTGCCCCGAAGTCCCCCGCTTCATCTGATCTCTTATGCGGATATCCCCCGTCCTGCTTTGGGGAGAACACAGAGGCAAAAGAGTCATTTAGCATCTGTGCCTGTTCCCTCTATCAGTCACTGGATCTCCTTCCTCCTTATTTAATGGTCCCACCACTTGTCTCCCCTTCCTCTTCCTATTTACTTGCTGAAAGAAGCCGTTTTTGTTGCTCTTGATATTCTTGGCAAGTCTCAGCTCGTAATCAGCCTTAGCCTTGCGAGGAATCCTTCTGCAACAGGCCTCCTCCTCCCAGTATACCCTTTTTTCTATTTGTCCCAGTACCCATTTCCTACGCAGGTTCCTCTTTCGCCTAATCCCTCTAACCACCTCCTTTCGCATCCATGGCGGCACTCTCCTCAGCCTCCCCACCTTACTAACTAGAGGTATCATCAAGGCTTGTGCCTCCAAAACCTCCCTTTTGAGTGCCATCCACCCCTCCTCAACTCGCTTACCTTCCAGCAACCTATCCCAGGAGACTTTCCCAAGTCTGGCCTTCAGTTGGCCTAAGTTGGACCTCTTGAAATCCCAGCTTAAAGTGCTCGACCTGCTGCCCGTCCCCACTCCTCTTATCTCAAAGCAAAGGATGGAGTGATCACTCGCACCCAGAGTTCCCCTAATCTGTACTTCATCTATCAACTCCTCCCTATTGGTCAAGACCAAGTCAAGGATGTTTCTGCCCCTCGTCGCCTCTTGGACCCTCTGTGTGAAAAACCCTCCCTCTATAGCTTCTAGGAAGCGATGTGACCTGACTGTCACCACCGAGTGAGTCTCCTAAGTAATATCCGGAAGATTGAAATCTCCCATAATTACTGTGTCTCTCCCCTGAGAGATCCTTAGATCTGGCCTGTCAGGACATCATCCAGGGTCTCAAGTTGACCTTGAGGGCGATAACATACCCCCACTGTCAGGTCTCTTTCCCTACATTTCACCCAGACTGCCTCTACCGAATCCCCATCTGTGCTGCATTCTATCTCACTGCATCCTATCCCTTCCCTGACGTATAAAGCCATGCCCCCTCCCCTCTTTCCCTTCCTGTCCTTTCTAAGAAGGTGATACACTTCTATGTTCACATTCCAGTCTTGCCTTCCATCCCACCAAGTTTCTGTGATTCCCACCAGGTCATACCCTCCTATTCCCAGGAGAGCTTCAAGCTCTTCCTGCTTATTACCCATGCTCCTAGCATTGGTGTACATGCACCTCAACTCCTTCCCACTGCTACCTTTCCTTGGAGGTCCCAGCCTCCTCCTCCTTCCCATCCTCCCTGATACCTGGCCCCTCTCTGTAGGAGTCCTGTCAGTCCCTGCAGTTCCTCTAGAACCCTGCTCCCAGAGCCCTGATCCTCTCCCCACACTTGTCCAGTGCAGACACATTTCTGGGGGGCCTGAACCGCCCCCCCGGCTCAGTTTAAAGTCTTCTGGACGAAGCTCGCTAGAGCATCTCCAAAGGACCTTTTCCCCATCCTTGTGAGGTGTAACCCATCCCTTGCCAGAAGTCGATTGGCAGGAAACTGAGTGCCGTGGTCAAGGAACCCGAAGCGTTCCTTCTGGCACCACACCCTAAGCCAGTCGTTCACCTCGGAGACCCTCTTGCCCCTTCTTGGCCCAAATCTCCAGCTCGGTAAGATTGACGAGAAGGCCACTTGTGCCTTTAGCTCCCTGAGTTTCTTCCCCAAGGCCTCAAAGCCCCTGGTGATACCGACCACACCCTGCCTGGCTACATCGTTTGTGCCCACATGGATCACCAGGAGCAGCTGATGACCCCCGGAGCAAACAAGACGCTCCACTCTGTCCTTCACATGCTGGATGCATGTGCCCGACAGGCAGCAAACTTCCCTTTTCTCCAGGTTGGGACGGCCCACCGCCGCCTCAGTGCCCCTCAGCAGGGAGTCCCCAACAACAATCACCCACTGCCGTGTCTTCCTGGTGGTGGTGGGCAGCCGTGCCCTGGCTCTCACCTCTCCTGCAGCGTCCCCCTTGCCATTTGTCGTCCCAGGCTGGGGGTCCTGCTGGTCCCCCGAGGCCTCATCAGCCTCAGCCTCCCCAAGTGGAGAGAACCTGTTTCCCAGCTCCAGATTGGTGCCAGGAAAAGGAGGAGGCCGTGCTGGCCTCCTCCTCCTTTGGGTGACTTAACTCCATGTCTCCGCAGCTTCTCCTCCTGTGGCCTCTCCCTCAACCCTCTGTCCAGAGGGGGGCTGCTCCCAGAGGGCCTGCTGAGCTCTCTCTGCCCTCAGGCACCTCACCTCCTCCTCTAGCAGGGTCACCAGCTTGCACCGAGGGCAAGTGTAACCCTGACTCTCCTGGGGGAGAAGGGTGAACATGTCACAGCTGTTGCAGCGGACAGCAACACCCGTGACTCCCGCCAAGGCCACCTCCTGGCCTGCCATTGGGATCCCTTCCGAGACCTTACCTTGGTCCCCTGCCTTGTTTGTCCTGCAGTTCCTCTCACTCGCCCAGTTCTCCCAGACAAAAACCCACTTGCGTGCACACACAAGGATAAAATAAACTTAAATTTATTTAAGTTAATAAATTAAGTTAAATAAATTAAACTTAAATTTAAATTGGAGGAAAAACAAAGCACAGCACAGCACAGCACAGCACCAAGAAGAAGAAGGAGGAGGAGGAGGAGGAGGAGGAGGAGGAGGAG